TTTACATCGCGTGCATTATTAATTAATTCAAGATAATTTACCGACAGAAGCCCCGTCTGGGTTGAGAACACTAATGCCACCTCTCAGCCACTTTTAATTGAAAACAGCATTACTAATGAAAAGGTATGCATTTTTTTACATTTCTGGATTAAATTGAATATAAACATTCACAAAAACTCATTCTCACCGGGATATTCTGTTGCTCTTTACTCCAGTGTACTCAAATTGCAGTTCAATCTGAGAATTCATGGAAAAGATCCTCTACACATGTCTACATAAGCCGTCTGATTAAAGTCTGGCAAATACCGAAGAATAAAGAAGAGTCATCCAAGAAGTCCCCAGCCAAAATCGAGCAAGATATTTTTTTAAATAAGAGGATTATCCAAGATGAGCAGCTGGCTCCGGAAGCCTCTGCCTTATGTTCTGCAAAAGTGGTTAGTTCATTGTTAGCACCACTAGAGTAGTAATTTCTGTAATGCTGCTGTAAAATTCGAAAAAAAAAAAAAAAAATAAGCTTTGGGTTAGTTAATTACACAAAACTCCCTATACGTATATCTCAAACATTCTTTTGGGATTTATCTTTGCTCGATGAACATCACATCCATGGGTTTTTGCGTATTATGAAAAATGGCCGGACATTTTTGTAATTAATATGAACCTCTATTTACTTACCTATTTGTATTCTGGATATAACCAACACTTTTTCTGTTTATTCTCTGAATTGTTTCCAGGGTTTCTATGACTTCTTATCATTGGGCACCGAATATTGCAGTTCACATACGAGTGCAGACATAAACCGAGAAGGGCACAGTCACGAGGGTCGTGAACAATTTCATTCGGGCCTTCTGCCGTTTTCACTGTCTCCGAATTCATCTTCTTTCCATGGTCATAATTCGGCTTTAACACCACAAGAGGTAATTATGACCCATTGTAACTAAATACAGCTCACTGTAACTCTATAACATAATATTGTGCTATATTTGGTTTGACTTGGTTAATTTATTTACCTATCTACAACTCACTATATAACATATGCTATATGTTATATATATCAAGGTACAACTTCCTGAATATCCTAGCAGCAGCACAGTTAACGGCAATTTCGCAGCCAAAATGGAGATGCAGCCACAAAAACAATGGCTTGCTCAGCATAAAAGTGGAGTGGGGCCCACGCAATTGAACGACTGGAAAAACGGAACCGCGGGCCCACCACCATCCACGGTGAACTGTGCTGAGCGAGCTCTTTTACCTCATTTGCTGGGCCCAAAGGATCAGCAGGTTATGTCGTCTGCTGCTATCAGCTCATCTTTGCCTCTTCAAAACATGAAGATTGATAGCCGTTATCATCAACAACTACTCCATAATCGTCAAATCCCTTTAGGATTTTTCGAGAGAAATCGGGCTGCCTTTTGTTTGGATAATGTACAGCAGTTGCAACTTCCATATGAGTAATGGCTGTGGTGGGGTTATGAATTTATAGAAGAAACCATAATTTTTTTTTTTTTTTTGTTATTTTCCTTATCCTTTTGGACATTGGTGGGGTTAATTATTATGTATGCAATGTTTGATTAACCCATTCTGTACAAATGGTTCTAAATGAAAATCATCTTGTGGTGTTTAACTGTTTTGTTTGGCAAATGTTTGGATAACTTTTGAGAATCAAAACATTTTTGCCTTTTGTTACATGTTTGGAAACATGACAACATAACACGATAAGATGATGAATAAATCTCCCTATTTTGCAATGTAAAACCCTATATAATGCAAAATTTACTGAAATATCCATAGATTGCAACCATTTAACTCATCAATCAAAGAACACCTTGGCAATGCAGCATTCTTTACAACAAGACTTTCCATCCTGTGTGGGAAAGCGAATAATGAATGAATATCTTGATTTTGGAGAGTTAACAACAGAAATGGCTTGATTGATTGACTTCCAACACCAAAGAATCTTTATTCCTGCTTTTCCAGTTCCCCCATTCTCTCTATGATGGCCTGAAATGCAAATAAAGTCGAAAGAAAAACAAAACCTATGTTCAGAGAAAGGAAAGTAAACATGTATCGTTCAAACTTGATATACGACCTCTAATACACCCAACAGTATGAATGAAGAAGGTGAGGTTTTGTATACAGATATTTTTCGCTAATTATTTGTAGCAAATTTCAGGGTAAACAATATTGCTTCTGAGTTTTATTTATTCATCACTGAACAAACTGTAAAGTTGTACCTATTCTCATCAGAGAAGGTGAGATTATTTTAATTTTTTACCTTCTTGCTCGTTTCTTGAAGTTCCCCAGCAAGTATGAACTCATCCAGTATAAGGTATACCTACGAAAAACAAAAAGAAGAAGAGAAAAATAATCAGTACAAGTAATATAACGCATGTAATATAACCCGGGAGTACTCAAAAAAGCAAAAATCATGGGAAAAATTTTCAAACAAGAAAGTTGGAGACAAGCAAGCAATGACAACTTAACAAGCAGGATCAAGTTGTTCTAAAGGCGTCTGGAGTAAATCATTCTATTCAGCATATCATGACTTCTAATCAAGTTTACAACGCCAAAATTTCATTAAATAAATAACAAATATGTAACAAATATTATCAAGCATCATAGGCCGATTAAGAAACACAAAAGGGTAAGTATGATTCACCATATTGCTAGGAACTTAAAAAATACCGACGTGCGATCAGATTATATAATCGACCTTCCAATTCATATTCGTGAGTAGTCCCAACATACCTTGTGGAAATTAAAGACTAAATCTAGCTCACATACGTTGCTGAAGAAGTGATCCAGTATCTCCACAAACAAATGAATGCTCTCCAAATAAGCCAACTCATTGTCTGTTATATCCACACACAAGGAGAAAAATAGCCCAGCATATCTTCTGTAGATAACTTTGTGAGTCCTGAACTGCAAGATGAATTGACAAACATGCACCGTAAATCCACAGTCGTGCCACGTCAGAAGATTGGGAACGAATGTAAGAGCACAGAAAGCATTCATAAATCATGAGTAAATAAACTGGGGATTGGATGAAAGACACAAAGAACTTATCTTGGTCTCAATTAATGATCTTTTTTCACTGTATCCAACAAATCCAGATTAAAAGAAAAAAGGATAAAAATTTACATATCCAATCATTAGCTCTTTATGCTATCAGATTGCCTAAGAAACCTATTTCAGAGAACTGCAGCTCGATTTGGCTGGTGAAAGCTCGAGTTCAAACACTAAGTGCTCAGCTCGACTCAAATAACACCCCTATCTGAGATAGATTAACATGTTCAAACTCATCACTGACTATGGATAATCAACAAAAAACAATCACTATTCAGAGACAGTGAGAACTGCTAACCTCCACAAAGTTGGTGAATTTGGGATCCCTATTGACGACCAGCCGATGAACCTACATTCATAAGCTCAACAATCAACATTACACTACAATCTTGAAAAAAAAAAAAAAAAAATTAAATAAACCTTTACAAAATTGAAACGAATTTGGGAAGAAAAATGGGGAACCTTTACCTCGTACTCGACCTTGTGCTTCTCGGACTCCTCGAGAGGAACGTAGTACTTGGCCAGTCGAGTTTTGCCCTGCCTGTTCTGAAGCAGTATAAATCGGATCTGCAAATATTATCAAGAGAAAAATGTCAAAACCGGACACAATTTGAAGGAGAAAAGTACGTGAGATCGAAGTTCGGCAATCGAGCTCGATGGGGCAGACGACAAGATTTTCACTTTACCATGATTGATAGATCGATCGAGAGACGAGGATCCCAAATGCAGCGGCAGAAAGGTTTTGAAATTTCGAGTGGATTTGTAATTCTACGAGGAAGTCAAAGATCAAAGATGAACTATTTCTAACATATAATTTATTTGATTCAAAAGTATTAAGTGAGTGATTTTCACATAAATATTGTCCAGTAGGTCGGAAGAGATATTAAATGAGTGGACATACGGCTTATCCGTTTTAAAAAATAATAGAGTTTGATCATATATCTTTTTACATCGTTTTATCAACGTTATTTTTTTGGTCGAAACATTGAACCTGAGTCTGGTAACGTTAGACCGTAAATTAACGATAATGATGTATTGTGATTGAGAATTTGAGAATAGGAAACCATTGATTCTTGTATATCAAAAAGTGTTTAATTTTTTTTTTATACGATTTTTATTTTATTCTATATTTTTATTTACTTTCATTTCTCTAATATATCATTTTTCGTACAAATGCACCGGACAAAACTAGTGAATTTTAATTTGCACGCTATTTCTTATTAAATATTATTGAGATGGAGATTTGCAACACATTGCAAAGCCCACTTTCCAGGTACAAGAAGCTCGAGTCAATCTATAGCCACAAAAACAAGAGCTAGAACAAAAATTAACATTAAACAGTGAATTTAAAAAAAAGAAAAATTGTCCATTGGTCAAAACAAGCCAACCGCGGAGAATGATAAAGATTGTTGCAGTTCAAAATTGTTGGACACAGAAGTAGAAACTCAGATTGAAATTTCAGGAATTTTTTCCGAGGTAAATGCTCTCGATTCTGTTCTCATTAATCATGGGATAGTGATTTTATGTATACCAACGTGAAAAATGCTTGTTTGAATGGATTCTGGTGTGGATTAGGGAATTTAATCGAATCTGTAAGTGGAATAGTTTATACCTTGTTGCTTACAGTTCGATCGCTTTTTTTTTCTTTGTTCGAATTGTTTATCTATGTCAATGCTTCTTGTGACTGAAGCTAATTCTTGTGAAATCTAGGGCTGTAACCTAAAAGTGCTTGTGAGGTGAGTGGAGTCGGATTTTTATTTATTTTCTCTTAAAAAAAATAGTTTAAAATGGGGTTTTGCAAATGGATGTTGAATGTGAGTTGAGGTGAGAATAAATTATCATAGTTTTGTGGCATCACCAGTTCTCGATGGGCTCAAACATTTGATACGGAAGCTCGTTTAAATTTCGTGATTGGTTTTGATATGCTGTAGACCAATTATGTCCATGGATTGATGTTATTGTTGAGTAAGTTGATTTCATATTTTTGTTTTTGGACTCAATCCCTGAAAATTGCTGAGTTTTCTTTCTACCTTCACCAGACAATATAACTCTTGTGCTGGGTATTGTCTTGCCTCTTGTAACTAGTCCTTTTAATGCTGAAGATGAAAGATTGGTTGTTTTGCTGCTCGGTAGAAAAACATATTTGTTTGAATTTGAACAAGCCATACTGGCTTATTAAAATTCTATGATGCGTTGTTATTTTTACTGTTTTCTACATATAGTGCTTTTTGGCAAAATGGTTATATGATAGGATCTATCTGTAAAATCAACCCCTCTTTGTGTTACGCTTATCCGTCAGTTTTGTGTTGTTTTGGCCCACAATGTGATTAGGCAACAATTGATCATGCATCAGCTTGATATAGTAGTGATTTTTGATCCGTTTTATTTGCTCTCTTTAGCAGTTGCATATTAGTCGAAGGTTAACATACGCATAAGTTGGTGGCGATTGAATAAACACTTCAAAATTCTCAACGCTGTCCAATAGTATACTAAACGGTCGATAATGGAGGCAAATTTGGTACAACCATTGATTGCATCAATATTTTCAGCTGCAATAGCCATCAGATCGTATAGAAAGAAGTCTCTTGACCTGTCTGGTGCTTTTGCTGGTTTTTCTGTCATGGCTATTCATATTGCTGTCAATTACAGGTCCTTATTCTCGTATTAATTCGAAATGATTTTTTCTTTTTCTTTTTTTTTTTTGGTTTATGAGCTCATAACATGTCTGTTCAGGCATAAATTACTACTTCTTTCTACTCTCTGCACGCACAATCTTATCTTTCTGATACTGATGTGTACTGTAGATTTGGTGCTATTCTACTTGTATTCTTTTTCACATCCTCGATGTTCACAAAATTTGGAGAGGACAAAAAGCGAAAAGTCGATGCAGATTTCAAAGAGGGTGGCCAACGCAATTGGTATTCTTCTCTTGCTCGTGATTCGAAAATAAAGTTTATGCTTCACCATCCTTTTGTTAATTATTTTTACGTAATATGATCCTTGTAAACGTAATTGATTTTATCAGATATCTTCCCATCTTTTCTCACTAGCCGATTAAGCTTTTATGCAAAAATCCCGTGATGGAAAACTCTACTCTACATCACGCTTTTTCAATATATAATAAATCGCCAAAAGTTTTTCATTTACAGGATACAAGTTTTCTTCAATAGTGGGATTGCCACACTCTTGGTCTTAATTGCTTGGAAATTGGTCGGCACTCGTGACTATTGTCTAAATTCGAAAGAATCGGGTGTCATGACGTGTTTAATCGGTGGAATTATCGGTCACTATTGTTGCTGCAATGGCGACACCTGGTCTTCTGAGCTTGGTGTTCTTAGTGACGAGCAGCCACGCTTGATCACAACCTTCAAGGTGAACACACAATTCTTAACATTTTCATTTTTGTTAAAGAATTTGACTTGTTTTTAACAAAAGATGAATAATTTGTAATTTTCAGCTCCAAAAATGAGAAACAATTAAAGGGAATAAATCGTTAATTCTTCAAAAACCAAAACGATGACTTTGAATTGGACTCTTATAATATGTAAATTCACTTCAATTTCAATTAGCCCGTTCGAAGGGGTACAAATGGTGGCGTGACAAAGGCGGGACTTTTGGCGGCTACAGCTGGCGGCAGTGTGATCGGGCTCACATTTGTTGTCTTAGGATTGCTCACTACTAACTGCACTTCTTATGTAGCTTTGAAGCAGCTGTTAGTGATACCGATTTCGGCTCTTGCTGGATTGTGTGGAAGTGTCATTGATTCTTTACTTGGGGCCACACTCCAATACAGCGGTATATGTACAGTTAGAAATAAGGTAA